AGTGTCACTCTTATGTCTTGGAAACAACAAAACACCTCCAAACACCAAAATATCCCAGTGAAGAAAAAAGTCCCCAAGGGTCTAGTGCCCATGTTACCAGGAGGAGACACAAAGTTAAAATGCAAGTCTGCATATTTTTTTTTTTCTGGTGTCCCAACATAAATAGAAGCAAATAAAGTACTTTGAATCTGACCCTGAAAGTCCTGACTCATTAGAATTTGTACTTTAATACCTTCTATTTGCCTCCACGCTGTTCACTGCTCCACTGCAATAAGCTCTGAATATGCATACCACACACCTGCTCACTCTTTCTAGTATCTCCTGCAAGGGCTGGTGTTTTAAACCGAGAAGCCAGACAATGCTCAAGGGAAGAAGTGTCACATTTTACAGATGGGGAACTGTGATACAGGCTGCTGCATTTCTAAGTAGCTTTCTGAACATGAATATTTGCATATTTGTACAGAACATCTGCGACTTCAGGTTTACAAGGCTTTTCAGGACTTTGTATATCACACAGCACCCTTTTCCCACAGTATCTCTCTTCTCTTTTATTCTTCATCGCCCTCCACAAAGTATCTCGAGACAGACCTTTGAACAGAGAGGGGATGCTCTGTGATCAAGGGCTGAAATGCACAGGCCCTGTCACAGACTGAGGCTACCAAACAGGATGGATCATTTCATGATGTACTAAGAGCTTGCTCTTGTAGACAATATTCATGTGATATTTCATACAATTCTTACCACATACCTTATCATCTCTCCTCAGCAGACTTTCTGTCTGTCTGCAAGACGGTTTTTTGCTTCCTTACCTCAGAGCATTTCTTACAGGATGGAGTAAGAGAGTAAAATCCTAGCAGTTATCCATGATCAGAATTACAGATGAAACATAATGAGTTGAGAGTCCTACCCTTTCTTGTCAATAGTTTGTGATGGCATCTACTAATATCTATTACCATGATATAAGTATTAGTCCCATTTGGAATAACAAATTTCTCTTTTTATGCTTCATATTCTTGTCACTGGAAGATGGAATCATGAGGCCCTGCTGCATCACCCTACTGCAAATAGAGACACCCTCTCCTGTGCAAAGGTTCATTTTGCAAGGAAAGAGGGAGTGCAGAGGAATGCAAACCACCCCAGAAGGCACTTGAAGAGATGGAGAGGACTGGTAGGTATCACATCCTCTATACATCAGTTGCAGAAGACATACTGGGAGATCCAACTTCAGGGATGCCGACAGCCGCGTGCTTCCCTGCACACCAAGGAGGTTAAAAAAAGGATCCCATCTCTCTGATGCAATCCCTCCACCCTTATTTGCTGCCTTGGGTTTGTGCTGGTTTGAAAATAAGATAGACATTCCAAGCTGTCAGGGAACTTTGTCATCATTTCACTACATAGAGGAGGCTTCCTAAAAGATGTGTCCCACAGCGTGAGCTGTAGAATGACAACATACTCACGAAGAAAAGCCATTAGATTGTGGATATTTTTGAAAGGCTGGCTATGAGTTAGGTTTCATCACTCAGTACCCAACAAAGATTTGATATGGGGTTGTACATGACAGCAGGGACTAAATGAGACCAGCTACAATGTCACCAGCTGCAGATGAAACTTCATCACACATAGAGTCTGAGTTAATTCGTATTGGGTTTTGCCTGTTTTGTATAACTATCCTCTTGAAGCAAAATTTAATGCAGAACATGAAAGTATTTCTTAGTCAGAAATAGTTTTGTAAGTGACTTACTCTAAACGTTTCCATAACAAATTGCAGTCTTTAGAAATAGCTGAAATTGATGAATAAGCAAACAGATCAGATATATTGTCTGCAAAAACTAGTTTGGCCAGCTCTAGTTCATAGCGAGCATTTATTCACTTCATGCTTTACAGTCATACTTAAAATAATCAGCAATCCTCTTATCTCTCAGGCACATTTTTTTTTAATGTCTGAGACACATGTAAAAATAAAATAATGTTTTATTTATTCAGTATCCCACTCTTCTCTAAATGATGGAAGTTATACTTGAGTAAATGCTGAATACAAAAGAGAGGGAATTTTTCTAATGTAATCTCAACCCCGTACACTGATAAGCAGCTCACCTGCTCTCGGCCTTACATGTGGAGACCTGACCATCTAAAGACCAAACTGGGAGGCAGAGCCTAGGTTTGGTTCTGTACTCTCTCCAAGTCATCCTATGGCTTGAGTTGAGTGAGTTGGTTGTGGCACAGATCCAAATAGCGGTGTTGAGATTCAGATCTGATGTAGCAAGTGAACCTTTCTTCACAGCACGACGCAGTCCCTGCAGGCCCACTGCAGGGTGATGGCTCTGCAGGAGGAAAGGGTGGAAAGACCCACACAGTCAGTCCATCCCTCAGATCTGCTCTGACATGAGTAATGCCCTTTGCTGACTCTCTTACATGTGTCCCAATGCTGAGATCTTTTCTTTGCCTGTGTGACACAGTCAGATACTGTCTGACAAACCAGATCACGTGCTTATTTTATCAGATAAGAAACATCAAGTTTATCTGGTGGGATATTTTAACAACAGAAAATAGCATTTTTATATGTCCTGTCTCAGCAGTAAAACCACTTCTCTGTTCATCCAAAGAAGTCAGGGTTTGCAGTTCTTCCATGTGGATACATTGCTTGGTACCTAGCCCCTAATACCTTCAGTACTCTGTCACAGAATTATTTAGAGATTATCTAGGTAAATTTCCAAGTTAGATCAGGCTGCATGGGTCTCTGAGTCTTTTGGTTCAGAATGTGTCTGAACAAAGGAATTCCAGTGATTTTCATTAAGAGAAGATGCATAATGATATAGTAATTTAGAACAGCATGCAACTTCAGTATGGCAAAAAAATTACAGCTGTTGCATCAGATCCCAGTAATGCCTGTCCCTTGCATCTATGGCATGGGGCTCTAATATTGGTTCATAGAATTATAGAATATCCTGTTTTGGAAAGGACCCGCAAGGATCCTTAAATCCAACTCCTGGCCCTGCACAGGACCATCCCCAATAGTCACACCACATGCCTGAGAGCACTGTCCAAATGCTCCTTGAGTTCTGTCAGGCTCAGGGCCATGACCACAGCCCTGGGGAGCCTGTTCCAATGCCCAACCACCCCCTGGGTGAAGAACCTTTTCCTAATATCCAGCCTAAACCTCCCCTGACACAGCTTCATGCTTTTGTCTTGGGTCCTGTCACGGGTCACCAGAGAGAAGAGGTCAGTACTTGCCCCTCTGCTTCCCATTGTAAGATCTCCCCTCATTCTCCTGTAGGCTGAACAGATCAAATGGCCTCAGTCACTTCTCATACAACTTCCCTTCTAGACCCTTCACTGTCTCTGTAGCCCTCCTTTGGACACTCTCTGATAGCTGTATATCCTTCTTGAATTCGTGGCTCTGAGAACTGCAACAAAGGGCTTGAGCTGAGGCCGCACAAGTGCAGGGTAGAGCAAGACAATCACCTTTCTAGACACTCACTATTAATCAGAGGAAAAACATCAGAGAGATTTTTAAATTCATTGAGGTCAATATCTAATTTGCATCCGTTTCAATCAGTTCAGAAGCCTGTTCCTCTGGTTTCTTCTAAATTCACTGCTATTATTCATCAGAGTTTACATTTAGGCTATGAAAATACTGAGGCTGGGGCAGTTTGCATTTGCATCTTCAGAGATGTGTCACCGGTGCTGGGGCTGACGGGGACTATCTTGAGCTGTATTCAGCTGCTGCTGAAAGTTTGATTTTCAGCAAAGTTACAGATACTCTAATCTCTTCTTAAAACCTCAGAAAATTTGATTTCTGGGATGTATATGAAAATAGAAACATGGAATTTGTTAATTAGCATCTCAACAAAACTTCACATTTTTCCAATTTAGTATTATGTCAGCTACTTTTGAGGAGAAAACATTTCATAGGTAGATACCAGAGGAGCAATTAAATACCAATAATAAAAAAAGAAATATACAATAAATATAATTAATTGAGTAAATATAATTTTGGCACACAATATTTCTTTCCAAAAGAGTATAAGAATAAACCATAATATATAGAAATATCAATGGCAATTTTAATACATTAAAAATAATGTATTTACATTAATATTAACATTGGCTGCTACTAGTTCAGTTCAGAAATATGAACATGGCTAACAGTTTTAAAATATCACTGAAATACAAAATTACAGATGAAACAGAATGATGCTGTGAAACACTGTGATACTCAGATTGACTCATGATCTTTATCTGTTGGATCACATAAAAATATGACGAAGCTGTTTAGATAAATCTTGCCAGATTTGTACAGTTCTTAATTTTTAAATTCTGGTTTGAAGGCACAGGGAACTGCTATCAATAAGTTATTCATAGTAAGAGTGGTAATAAGCAAATAAGAAATTTGCTGCAGGATGATCTCCTGTGTGCACCTCCAGCATGCCCAAGGGAGTTCCCGGCTATGGGGAGAAAGGACTGTGCTCTCCAGGCTGCCAGCCCTTCCATGTCACTCAGGCTCTTGGCTCTTTTACAGACGGTGTTAGCTTACTCAGAAATGAAACACAAGCTCAGCAAACATTCAGAGATGGCATAAAAGAGTCTCTGACTTCACTTGGAAATGTGTAAGTTTTCTATATATGTCAGTGCATTCTAGATCTGACTGCAAAAAAAGTAAAATTTACTAATTGTAAACTGTCAAGCATTAGAATTGTACATTTTAAGAATTTCAGGACAGTGCAGGATCTTGACTAATGCAGCAGCAGTACTGTCATTCTGTGTTACCAGGCCACTGTTTTGCCCTCTGATTCTCCCAGAATGTGCAATGCATACAGAAGTATGAGAAATATTTTCAAGGTTCTTGTTGAAAGACTTACTCATTTTTAATATTTTCCACTGGTTAACCACAAACATTAACAGCAGAGTGCATTTATGAGACTCTGAACATGTACCTCCTCAAGAAGCAAAAATTTCAACTGTAAGAATGACATGTTGTTCTCCTCAGCAGCGGATTGGGGTTTTTTTGCTCAGATGATAAAACTGATTTTACTTCATGTGAACAAAAGACTCAGTCCAAAAAATAAGTTTTTAGGATTTCAATTTGAGTCAAAGTAAATTACTTGGTTTATTCCACATATCCTTAGCAACGTAATATTTTCACTGATGATAGTGGTGGGCAAAGTTTGTTGTAGGAGACAAACAGAAGAAATAAGAATTATTGCTCCCGTAGTGTCCTCAAGGAGTTGCTGACCCATACAGGACATGTAAGATGATGTCAGCATGTAAATACTTGTGTGCTGCAGCCTGCAGCTGGCATTGGGACCTTCTTATTTGTTTCAACAGCTACCTGCTAGCTGCCACCTTCTTGGTCTCTGCCACTAGTACAGGTCTTCTGAATGTTGGACGTATCTGTTAGTTCTTTGTTTTCTTCTCTTTGCCCTTCTTCCCCTGATTCTACTTGGATTTTCGATTTTCTGCTGTCAGTTTTGTGATTAATGGATGAATTTAGCTTGGATGAGTTCCGTCTCCATCTCCTCAGGCTCCTGTAACAATCTTTTCTGATGTTTTCACTAACCAGCACGTAGATGATTGGATCAGCAACACCATTTGCAGTGCCTAAACACAGAAACACTGTAGAAAATGGATATATCTGCTTTTCAAATGGGCACGGGCAATTCTCATTAAACATGAAGTGTATGGCTCTTATTATGAGTACCACATGGTAGGGAGCAAAGCAGATCAGGAAAATTACAATAATGGCAATAGCCAGATACTTCACTTTGGCTTTTTGGTGACAAGTCAAGCTACTGCTGCTTTTTGTAATTTGAAAAATTTTGTAGTTTGTGAAAATGAGGATTGTGAAGGGTATGGCAAATCCAAATAGGAATCTAGCAAAGCTGAAAGAAGCCAATGTTTTGTCAAGGGGCACAGTCTCAAAGCAGGTTCTGGTTGTGTGTGGCAGCTTCTCTTCCATGTAAAATACTGGAGTGTGGATTACTGCAACCACAGCAAAAAGAAAACAGACTATTACGATGGCCTTTTTCTGTCCTCTTCTCCCCCTTGATTCCAGAGGATACACCAGTGCCACGTAACGATCCAGAGAAATGCAGCACAAAAGCAGAATGCTGATGTATATGTTGCAGAAAAAGATGAATCCTGTTATTTTACAAGCAGTGTCACCCATGGTCCATCTGTGCTTGTTTTGCACATAGACAATCCAGAGAGGCAAGGTACTTATGTACATCAGCTCACACAACGATAAACTGAAAATGTAGATGGCAATTATTTTATTCCTTTGGATTTGTACCAACGTAAGCAGGGAAGTTAAGCAATTTGCTGGAAGGCCTATGGAAAAAATGATGCTGTAAACAGCAACCAGAAGTGGCTGGCTCTCTTCGTAGGGAATTCCTGAGCAAGTGAAGTTATCACTTTTGTCTTGACAATCTCCCATTATTCTTATTCCAGCTGGTGTTTCCTGAGAATCAGAGGACAAGGTGCAAAGTTAGCATTACATCACTTAAAAATGTGTCGGTAAAGTTTATGGCCCTGTAGGTACCCACTTGACATGTCAGGGGAGCAAGTGGGATGCTTGTCTTGAGGAAGCATCTAACACAGGCAAGTTTTTCAAGTCCTGCTGGTCTTCTGTGGGGACCCCCTGAGAGTCAGGCCTGATTTACTTCCAGGAAAAAGTGCTGTTTTTCACAACGAATTTCTTGACTACAAGAAATTTCATTTTATTAAAACAGTGTTTGTCTATTAAAATGGAGTATTGGGGACTGTTCCTAAACCACGTATCATAAATAAGACTGAGCTGCTGATCAATTACTAAAGACAATTCCCAGAGCAAACTGAGGGCATTAGTCTTCAATTTATTGATTGATTTATTTATTTATTTTAACCTGAGTAACAAAAAATGCAAACTGTAGAGATTTCAGAGGCAGACTTCCAAATGAAGGTGGCATTTATGGTCACTCAGGTGGGGGAACCATCTGAATTGGGTGGTGGTAGTTCACAGAATCATAGAATCAATCAGGTTGGAAAAGAACTCCAAGATCATCAACTCCAACTGTGCTGTTGTGTCAGAGTATTGTGTTCCCTGTATACAGGAACCAGAATCTGGCCACTGGTCTGTACCTGCACACTTGCAACATAGTGGGTCAGGTCTGTCTAATTCACACTTCTCCCTCCTCTTAAAGAATAACAGCTGAAGAAGTTAAATTTGTAGTATGATACTACACCCATCAGAGAAAGTCAGTGAAACTGCCAACCACATCTGTTTGATACCTCTGGGAGACAACAGGAAATAAGGGCAGTTAGAGGATGTAGACAAGACCAAAGAGAAGAACATACACGTTTAAGAGATGGAGGTAAAGAAATTTAATGCTCTTTGAACAGGAGTGGTTACAAAAATCTCCGCCTTTTCAAGATACACAAAAGCAGACCTGGCATTTGGGTTATGCTAAGTAGTGCATTTCTTGCAAAGTCACAGGGTGATTTCCTAGCAGAAGTATTCTCCAAAAGAACAGGGAAATATGGAGGTGGGTGCACCGTAATGGTGGTGTGTACCCTTAAAAATTGTATTTTGCTCTATTTATGAGTTGAAGGTATCCACTGTATAACATTCTTGATAAAAAAAGGTCTTGTCTGGCTTAATCTTTTTGGGATTCTATTGCGGGTGGACACCTACTCCAGGGTTAGTAAATCTGCTATGTCCACAAGGAGATGTGTTGGCAGAAACAGTCCCTTTAGACGGAGGAGGCACATGGGCTTTCACAGTCCACACTGTGTGTGTGCAATTTTTTTAACCCTGAGTTCATGCAGGGGAGAAGCTTTTAGCAGCCTCTGAAAATTTATTTATTGCTTGTTTGGGCCCATCTCAAGCAGACTAAGGGGAAGCAGTTTGCTTCCAGAGCAGTGGGATTGTCTCCTGGATCTCTGGTAGGGTGGACAATCAGGTGGGGCCTTTACTTCCCCTCCATGTGGGCAAGAACAGTCCCTGGGGTGGCACAAGCAGCTCCACCCTGAATGCTTAACAGGGCACCTGCCTTGCAAGACCCCTAGTGCTTGAAGGGCAATGAGGTCCCCTGACTCAGGTTGGTTACCAGATGATGAGAACAGTGTGAGAAAATGGACACAGGTTACCTTGGGCTGCAAGACCCTCACAGCAGCACAGTGCTGGCCACAGCCACAGACACCAAGAGAGGATCTCCTGTCCCATGTTTAGAGATGTTCACTTCCATCAAGTGCCCCAAATGCAGTAAGTTTTGAATGCAGATGCAAGCAGGAGGGCAGAGGCCAGTGGTACCTGCCATCCCCAGCACCAGCAGCAGAATAAGCTGTTCCCTGAGATGGGAGGGTTTGAAAGGCACCTCCTCAGATAGAGGAACTGAGAGAGTGCTGTGTGCATAGAAATACAGTGGAGGTTGTGACCCCCCTCTGGGACTGCCTTCCACTTCCCCACAATAAATCTTGCTCCACTCTTGAGCTGACAGGATGGTGGTTGCTGCACTGATTGGGCCAAAGTATCTTTCCAGAGGGTCACATCCCTCCACCTCTAAGAACTGGATGGGAGTCTGGTGGGTATGTTGAAGGTCTCTCAAGGGGGATCTGAAGTTTCGCCCCTGGTCACAAAACCACCCCTCTCCTATCTGCTAGTTCCCCATTCTAAAATCCTACTGTAGTTGCTAAAAGCCCCAGCATTTCTCATGCCATGTGTCACCTGCATCCAAAATCTCACACGAAGCTCAGTCTACAAAGGTAAGGTAGATGAACATGAACTTGTAGAGTAATTTAGACATTATCATGCCTTCAAAAAAAAGTTGGATCCAGTATTGTCCCATCTTAAGAATCACTGTAGAAGAGAATCCTCAATGCTGTTTGGGGAAGACATCACAGCATTCAGCAGCACTGCTGCCAGGTCATGTGACAGAGGGTGCAGTTACTTCCCTCCTTTCCTGGCAGTGAAAGTGGACTGAGCGCTGGTGTTAACTTACAAAAACAGTGGTTGTGATCAAGCCTGGTGGTGACTTGAGTTTTTTGCTGCCTCTGAGCATCTGCCACCCATGGTGGAGGAGGAGGGGTTTTCTCTGGGCCACCTCCCTGACTGCTGTGTAGAGGGGAGAAAAAGGGTGTTTGATATCAGTGTCAGCAGAAGTTCTCTGCCCAGACTTCACCTATGGACTAAAATACATGAGCTTGTCCTCAACTCAGACATGCCTGATCGATGTGAGAGCTGCTGTTCACCTGCACACTACAGAGCTGCTCTATACCTGAGCACCACAGAGGGTCTTGGAGACCTCCTCTTCTACACTAAAGCAGAGCAGGTGATTACAGCTCATGGGGCAGGCAGATGGGGACAGCCAGGGCAGGGACATGGTGGAAGTCACACACCACCTCACTTACTAATCAGCACACTGACAAAAACAGTTTCAGGATTGGTTGAGTTCCTCTCTCCTCCCTCTGGGCTTTGCACACTACTTTTGGCCCTGTGTTTGTCTGAATATTCTTCTTTCTGCATGGCTTCTACTGGGGCAGCTGATGGTGCAGGGCAGGAAGGAAGTGGTTGAAGAGTTCTGCTGTAGACACATGTTCCCAATGTTTGTTTCTCTTGCTTCTTTCTTTCACCTCCTTTCCTCACAGTCTGCTCCAAGTCTCCTTCCCCTGCTCAGTACCTGTGAGAGAACCTCAGGGAGGAGATGCCTGTGACTTTCTTAGCTGCCTGCACTAAACATGCTTTTTTTTTCTTGGTGTTTAGCATATGGACTAATCCACAGGGCTGGGGCTGAGCTGAAGAGACCTTCATCCTTACAAGACTGTCAGCTGCCCAGAGTAACACCTTGGCTGACACAGTGCAGCCATAGGTGTGGATTTACACTCATAGAAAAAAAGCATGTGCTGAATGACTCTCCTGGAGCTCTGGCCTGTCAGCTTTGGAGCTTGTATCCTTCCCAGCAGGAATGGTCTATGTCCCAGCCCCACATCAGGAACAAGGAGAGGAGAGCATCCATTTGCTCCACTCCCTCACCTACTCTTGGCTCTCTGCCACTGGACACTATATGCAGCCCCAATTCTGAGCTTTATGTGTCTCTGCTCAGCTCTCCAAGCCTGCAGAGGGCTTTCCTTCTCAAATAGGAGATCACAAAGCAGCACTCAGCAGACAATTTATGAAATTTCTCCCCGTGACATTGCCCCTTGTGATGACCCATGGTTAAGGGGAAGAAAGCACCACTACAATCCACTCTTTCACTAAAGTCAGCTTCTCTGGGCCTCTACACCTCTCTTCAACTGAATGCACTGTTATCTTTTTCTCAGGCCTTTAGAGTTTAGTGGATTGATACATGGCTCAGCCCATAAGATTCTCAGTTCTTGTCTTCTTCCTCTGTGGTGTCTAGGCTAACCTGCATCTCAGTTGTTAATTCAAATAAAAAATAATAATAATTACAGAGCTGAAAAATCCACACACCATTTTTTGCTAATATTTGTGATGAGCAACTTTGATTAGAACAGTAGAACTGAAAAGATTTATCACATCCAGCAATTTTCAGGTATTTATAAAGGGTTGAGTGCAGCTGTGATGCCAAGGATGAAATAATATCCAAGAACACATATGCGAGTTACAAGCTGCTCCAATGCATTAGGTTTCTTTGCTGCTCAGTAGCTTTCAGTTGAGCTTAGTCTCTCCAAAGTAGCTGTTTTCACCTTTCTGTGACTTATCCTTATCTGCCAGGTCTCACCAACCATAACTGGGTGTTACATCAGGTCCTGGCCACGTGTTCCATCAACAGCTCAACATATATTTATCATCACTCTGAGGCTTCTTACTCCGTGAGACTCACTGCACATGGCAAACCGCAGTCAGCATGTGCACATTTGTCACCTCAGGATGTGCGAAACGTCTCATCTTCCCAGACAGAGACAACATCTCTGGCTCAGGAAGCACCTGAGCACAAATCACTGGGAGATCCGCTAAGGAAGATGTGCTGCATGTGTGCTCTTTATTTATGCTCTTCCATTTCTAATGTAATTGTGTTATGTTCACACTGCTAGTTGAATAGATAATTTTGTTACTTACTCCTTAAATGGAGTGCCTACATGGTCTAATGTATTGAGAACTTATGGAGAGAAAACCCTGGGAAAGGACAGGGCACCTGGAGATACCCAAGTAAAAAGGGAATGGATGGAAGAGGCATGACAAACATGAAAAGCCATTTTCTTGGGGTGTGGTGAGAAAGCAGCAGAAGTGTCTTGCTGTAAACCCACCAATCAGGGCTGTGAAAGTAGAGTGTGATTGACTGCCCTTTCCTCCTCTCCTCTTTGATCCTGTCACCTTGCATTCCTCAGGGCAGGTGGCCTGTATTTACCAGGAGGAATGGAGAGGTGTTCTTTCTCAGGAAGTGGCTGATTTCAAATGCCAAACTGGTGTCTGTTCCAGAACAGATCTTCTATATTATGGACAGCGACCAAACCACA